CTTGCAAATTGTGATGGTGGGGGGTCAAGGTTAACTAACTTTAGTACAAGGATAAAGCTAGGGTTGTTCATTTATTTTTTTAGACCACTAAATCATTAACAAAAGGAGTTTACATTGGCACCCCACAGCGCCTCACAACACATCCCAATCGTGTATTGAGAACATCTCTCAATGATAAGTACGGAAGATGCGAGTTCGGCTTCAGTCAAGGCAAAGCCTGTTCAAACAGCCTTTACTGCCTTGCATTGAGAATACCTCCCTAGTTGTGTGCTTTATTTTATAGGGAGATATTCTCAATGCAAGGTTGCAAAAGGGTGTTAGAAGAGTGTGGGCACAGGCTTGCCCCAATGGAAGCCAATCTCGGAAGATGCTCCCAGTACATGCTGAGATGTGCATGTGGGGTGCCTGTAAGGTGCTAATGTGAACTCTAACAAAATGGAGGTTAATGTAACCTGCCTTCTCCCAAAATCCAACAATTGAACATACAAGTTCGTATATATATATACGCTGTTTTAAGTTTTTAACTGTGAAGATACCCGAAGGGTTTAGACCCCAAACTAATTGATCATCACTATCTTTAGTTGTGATGTGAATCTCTTTAATTCGGGATACTAAGTCATTGTGCAAATTACTGCTTAATTTTTCTAACGCCTAGGATTTTGAATCTCTGTTTATAATTGCTTCCCCTTTGGTTTTGTTTTTCTTGGTTTTCTTCTATATTTAAGCAACAACATTGCCTCTTTTGAAATTTCATTATTAGAGTTTGAATCTATTCCTCACAGAGCGTGCCTTATAACAATTTTATAGCATGTTTCAGGATGGTTATTAAAATCGAACCAGTAACCGAATCGATCAGGGGTCCGATTACAGGTTCGAATGGTCCAACCGTTTGATCTGAACGATCGGCCCATTTTGACAAAAAAAAATTGAAAAATAGTCAAAACCAATCGAATGGTTTAAACAGTTAACTAACCGATTCAACGGTTTATTGATCAAAACTAACAATTTTAGGGGAAAACGAAACTGATCAAATGACTAGTTCCTGAATTTTCTAGTCCAATCATCCGATCCGATCCGGTTTTAAAAATTATGTGTTTCAATGACATTTACATGCGGACCATTACTTGTAAAACTTTTATTCATGAGAAGATATTTTAGATACACGGCTGAAACATACACATACTGGGAGATCAGCACACTCAGATCCGAACTCGAATATAAACATAGAAATTTCCTTCCTTAATACCTTTATTAAAAAGGAAGTCGGCACATCTATTGCCTTCTCTCAAAGTAAGAGAAAAGGAAAGGCACATGATAGCACTTGTTTTCTTTCCCGAGAATATATGTTAGATTGAGGAAGTTTCTCAAAAAGGATGTCGATCAAATACTGTTTATAGTGATCCTGCTCAACTAATGGACCTGGGGGTGTTCACATCTGCGACTCACAAGGGAGTGCCCCACAACGTCCCACAGTACATCCCCGCTTTGCATTGAGAATATTTCCCGATGATGATATCATCGGGTCTGATATTATCATCAGGAGATGTTTTTAATATACGGTGGGAATGGGCTGTGGGACATTATGGGGCACCCGCTTGTGGGGTGCAGAGACATAATGTCAAACCTTTAGAATTGGCAAAGAGGTTGTACCAGTCTAAACTTTAATTTTCACTCTGCAAATTTTTTGTTATTATAAATTTTGTTATGTAAATAGAACTAACAATTAAGCTGCACACATCCTAGCCTACACTGGGCAAGACTACTACATATTTATCTATGTTCTATTTCCAAAGTAAAAAAAGGAAATGATCATTTTAAATACAAATTTTCTCAAGCAAAAAAAAATTAAATACAAATTTTTTGTTATGTAAATAGAACTAACAATTAAGCTGCCCACATCCTAGCCTACACCGGGCAAGACTACTACATATTTATCTATGTTCTTCTATTTCTCATGTAAAAAAAAGGAAATGACCATTTTAACCTTAAAAATTTATTATTAAAAAGAACATTTTTATCTGATTCAAGTGTTGAAAACTTTCTCCCAATGTGGAAAAGTTATTTACCTACCTAAGATATGGGTATCACTTACCTGGGTAAGCGGTATCAAAAAAAATAAACTTTTCCTAATCCCCACATTAATCTGAAAAAAAAACATAGAATTTTTGTTCAATGGGAACCAAAATCCAATTGACCAGATTTCCCCATCAGAATGGTTATGGCTTTTATTTTTATTTATTTTCTTTTATATTAATATCGTTATATTTCATCTTTTCATCAAAACCTATTGAACGCCGTAGAAGTAATATCTATCAGTAAATGAGTTCATTTTAAGGCAAACAAAACAAAAGTTGGTAGGGTGTGGAATTGCTACAGTAAAGTCCTCCAATTTGCCACGTGTTACACTTCAGCTAATTAGGATAATTGTGCTGATTCATTTTGTGCTTACATCAAATACAAAAACCTCCCCTCAAATTTTTGACAAACCTAAACACCTTCCCATTAGTTGCACTTTAACAAAAACCTCCTTTGAACTTTCAGAAAATTTGACAAAAACCTCCTTTTCGTTATCTGGTTACCAGACGGAAAGTCGTTAATGTTACAAAATTGCCCCCGACTGTAATTGTCAGAGTGTAAACACAACGCTCATTCAACAACCTACGGTGCTATATTATCTCGCAATACATATTATCAAAGCTCTATTCCTGCCTTTGTATATCCATCCAATTAAAACGTGACAACCTTTACTCTCTTCTCTCTCCGCTGATCTCTCTCTCAAAGTCATAATATGCCTGTGTCTGCGTGGTTTTGCAACGGAAAATCCTTCTCAAAGGCATCTTTAAGAGGAGTGAAGAAGTCATCTGCGTCTGCGTCTGCGTCGTTCAAAAAAATACAAATAATAGAATCAAAGCATGAAATAATGCAAAAGAGGAGGAGAGAAGGCGCCTTTGGCTACCCATAGCAAGACAGACAATGTAGTGTTGTAGCAATTCTAAAGTGTGTTTACAATTGTAAACTTCAGCAAAAGTGTTTAGAATGACCGCATATTGTAGCAATTCTAAGAGATGAGAGGCTGTTGCCGAGCCTGCTGTTGTAGAGGATGCTTCATCATTCATTAATGTTTCTTCACCAAGCCAAAACTCAGTGACTTCCATCTGGTTGATGTCAACAAGCCCAAAACCCCTTTTCAGTTTGAAAATTCTCTTTTATCTTCTCTCTCCTCCTCCTTTCTTTCTAAGAATGCATCCCAACTAATGGCATCGTTTGCTTCTTTTGATCACTCATTCAACCCTTCTCTCTCTAGAAGTTATGCCCTATCATGACCGTGACAGAGACCCAATGTTGAGCAAATACAGTAATATATATTTTCAGTTTCCCATTATGTGTTTATTATAGTCTAATCTCTAGAACAGTGATTAGACTCTTCTTATGATTGACAACATAAGTATATGGTTGAGCAACCAAAAAATGAAAACAGAAAAGCTAAGGTAACTTGTTTGAGGGTCAAAGAGAAAATTATGAAACGGGGTTCAATTTTAATTTCCAGGAGAAATAACACTACATCTGCATGTAGTGTTTGAAGATTGACACTGAAAACAACACCCAAGAAAGTATGTTTAGTTATAGCTGAGTTTTCCAGCTCTTCTGGTTTTCAAGTAAGCTCATGTCACAACAACCCAAAATTAATATTTAATTGTCAAAAATTAGAAAATGAATTCGAATTCATCTTGATTATAGACTTGTAGTTAGGTATTTAAATGAGAGAAACAGCGGAAATGCCCATGGTGTTGTAGGAATGGATATACTGTGACTGTGAGATGGGAGAAACTTCAAAGTTCAAACTTCTAAATTTGAAAAATCTCGACTTAATTTGTAGTTTGCACTGAAGTGGTTGTAGGGGCTTTCTGTTAAATATAAAGCACATAATACAACAATAGGATCTACAGTTTTATAACTTGGGCAAAAAAGGGTCGACTGCCGGTCGTTTCAAACTGGGTTGGTTGATAGGGAATAGAGATATGGAAAAAAACTAGAAAAACTGGGATTTTTTTCTTCTATAGTTTTTTTTTTTTTCATTGAATCACAGGTAAAAATATGTTTTTTCCTTCCTCACTATAGAAGAGAGTGATGAGTTGGTGAGAGAGAGAGAGAGCTCGTCGTCATCCCTCTCAATTCAATCCATAGGAGAGAGGACAAAGACTAGCAGGTTTTGTGTAGGGGTGTAACGGTATTTGAAAATCTGATTTTGAATTTCAGATTTGGTATAGTCGAATTTAATTCGGATAATTTGAATATCTAATCGGTCAAATTCGGATATCCTATTCATACCAAATAATTAATCGGATTCGAATTCAGATATGACCTAATTCGATTCGATAAATATCCAAATTCGATCAATTATTTAATTCTTATATATAATATATAAAATTTTTAAATATTTTATATAATTTATATATATAATAATTAAATTATATATTTATATACTTTATATCAATAAAATATTTATTTTATATATTTATTAATTATCTAAAATAATTAATTAGTTGAATTCGAATCGAATATTCGAATATTTAATCGTCTTCGAATTCGAATATTAATTTTCAATATCCATCGGATATCGAATCAAATTCAGATATCGAATTTTTTAATCGAATTCGAATTTAGATATTGCTTGATCCGATTCGAATTCAATCCTAATTTTGTAGTGTGAATGGAGAGAACTAAATTAGGGTTACTTTAGTAATTTTGTATGTAAAGTTAAAATAGGTATTTGAAAAAAATGGCGCATGGTCTAACGATGTTTTGTCTAGAAATGCAACGGAAGGAAGGTTTTTTTTTTTTTAATTTTCTCAAAAGAGAAGTATTTGTTAAAATGAAATTATGGAGAAGATTTTTATGATTTTCAAGAAGTTAAAGGAAGGCTTTTGTATAGGAACCTCTACTGATTCATGCACAGTGGCAGGGAATCAGGTATCCATTCAATTGTGGGTCCCATTGGTTGGCATGCCGAACCGAAACTCATTAAAGTGTCACTTAAATCTCCAAGAGTCATGATTCAGTGGGAGTAATCGCACCAAACACTGTTTACTCTAGTGATTGACGCAGATGATCGCATGCATGACCAGCAAGTGCCCTATAGGGTCTGATACATCCATTTTACCTTCAAGTGTACGGAATAATGGCGTGTTCGTTGTTGATTGGTCACGCAGCCGTAATCGTACACTTGGGTTCGCAGCAGATCCCGTTCTCTTTGCAAAATGGCAAGTTTGCCGAAATAAAATTAGGTCACTAAAGTGGCCCCCACCAAAAGGCGCGATTGGAAAAGTAATTCATTATCCACCAAACCCCACTTTACCCAATACCCACCCCCTCTCTTGTCTCTCACTCTCACTCTCTCTCTCTCTCTCTCTCTCTCTCGTTTGCAGACGGTAGTGACTTAGTGAGGGGTTCCAGCCAAGCATAAGAAAAGATGCTATCTCCGAACCCTTTTTCTCTTTTATGTGCTATTCTTCTCTGCCTACCTCTTGCATTCATCTTCACAGTTACCAGCCCCAGCAGCAGCAGCAACAGCAGCAGCGATGACGCCGGCGCCACCACCACCACCACCAACGGCAATTATATTCGCAAAATCCAGGTAAGGAATATCGTTCCATCCACAAACAACATTGAGCAAAACAAGAATAGCGAAATCAAAAGCACAATTGTCAGCAGACCGCAGCCGCCGCCAGCAGTTATTCCAGAAGACGACGAATCTCTGTTCCGCATCGCCGGCCGAGTAAACCGAAACCCATCACCCACTGGAGCAACAAAGAAATTGGCGTTTATGTTCCTGACTACTTCGGATCTCCCATTCGCTCCACTATGGGAGCGCTTCTTCCTTCCAAATCAAACCCAACAACAGAACAATAGAACGAAGCTCTTCAACATCTACATCCACGCCGACCCATCTTCTCACTACGACCAACCATTTTCCGGCGTCTTCTCCGGGCGCACCATCCCCTCCAAACCCACCCAACGGTTTACCCCATCTCTTGTCTCCGCGGCTCGTCGCCTCCTCGCTCACGCCCTTCTGGACGACCCCTCCAACGCCATGTTCTCTCTCCTCTCCCCCTCCTGCATCCCCCTCCGCTCCTTTGGCTTCACATACAGAACCCTCATAGGATCCGATAAGAGCTTCATCGAGATCCTCAAAGACGAACCGGGCAGCTTCGACCGATACGCTGCGCGTGGACCGGACGCGATGCTCCCCGAAGTACCGTTCGAAAGTTTCCGTATAGGATCGCAGTTCTTCGTCTTGACACGTCGGCACGCCAGGCTTGTGGTGAAGGACAGGCGTCTCTGGTCTAAGTTCAAGCTGTCATGCGTACAGTGGGACACGTGTTACCCCGAGGAAAACTATTTCCCTACCTTACTCAGCATGCAGGACCCACGTGGGTGCGTGCCAGCAACTTTAACTCACGTGAACTGGACGGGCCGTTACGATGGTCACCCTTGGACGTACCAGGCTTCTGAGGTTTCGCCGGACCTGATCCTCTCGCTCAGACAAGCTAGGCCCAGATACGGTGACGATGCCAACTCGACTGCCAATGGCTCCGACTCGTCTGTGTCGAAACGGCACGACCCTTTTCTTTTTGCCCGCAAATTTTCGCCGGATTCTTTACAGCCGTTGATGGAGATAGCCGACGACGTCATCTTCCGAGACTGAAAAAGTGACTGTAACTAGTAAGTTTTGGTTGCAGCCTTGCAGGATTTTTATATATAGAAAAGAAATACAAAAACATGCAAGTGTAATTGTGGAAACCCCTCTCTTTGTCTTTATTCTCTGAGTTCTTTTTAGTTTTTATCAACACTTTTAACTCGGAGTCAACTCGCCTGACATGACCGAACGAATCATCGATTAATTTATAGATTGACCAATATTCTACCAAAAGCACGCGTTTCCTGAGTCGGAACGGTGATTTTATATTTTTCCTGCTTTTAATGGTTTGTTTCAGTTCTGTCTTCTACACGGCTGATGACTGATGACAACTGGATTTGAGTAAAGAGCAATACGGAGTCTGACACGTAGGATACCTGGTCCTCGCAAACTTTCCACGTGTAGAAAAGGCGATCAGACAAGCTTTAAATGAAAGATCAATGGCGGGGATTAATCGTCGGCTGATTACGAGACATCGTACACGACGACCATGCGATGATTCATTGAGACATATGGGCTGTCGGAGTTCCTGGGACCTCAGAGCCCAGACCTCACTTGGGACTTGGGAGAGCCGATGTCGGAGAGCGATTCCACTTTCCACACTTATAACACTTTACGCCATCTTGACCGGTTCGGCCGTGCCGGTTAAAAAAGAAAGAGAATCGGTTCGACCGAGAATAGGAAGCCGGTAATTTTGGCAACAACCGCATTTAAAGCAGAAAGCTAGCGTGTAGTATACCTATATCGTGGAAGATTGATGAGTGGTTAGTGGTGGGTCCAGACCATCCCCTTTATCCCAAGCATCAAATCGGATGGTATGTTGCTATGGTGTACATACATGGTCAAAAAAGCAATCAACCGCACTGGTACCAAAACTAGAATCCTGTCGGTGCGAGGTGGGGCCAAAAGGACTGTAGGGCCCAAAAAGTTATCATGTATTAAGAAGGATGATGTGATGTAAAACTGCAGGATAAAGCAACATCCAATAGGCCCATCGTTTAGCCCAAGACCAGTTTCAGTTTCTTTTAGCTGATTATTATTTTTACATAGATTTTCCCGTTTTTACCTGATAATTATCAGGATCAGCCCGGCCCATGTAACTTAACAAGCCCAAAAAAAAAAAAAAAAATCTCTTTTCAAGATTTATTCTCTCATTAAAGCATTATTGAAAGCCCAATTGTGGTAATGGAGTACGCACTTTTGGAAATTAAATAAAAAAGGATAATTAACAAAATGAAAGCAACCCTTTTGACTTTCGCAAAATGGACGTGGCCCATAAATCCTACTTCGCTCCAACCGTCCAACTCTCTGCTATGGGTTTCTGAATTACCAAAAACCTCTGTCTCTCAGTCTCTCTAAACAAACTACAGCTTTTTATGAAATTTAACAGATTATAAATATTTTCCGTCAATCTACTTTTACAAAAGGTAAAAGTAGTTATGAGGATTAAGAAATAAAAGGGAGAATGACCGATCAGCCCAGATCAAAATTTTATAGCCCCAAAGTACAGGGGAATGCATCTGACCGTGAATTCATGTCAAATTCGTACCTCTCCGAAAATATTTTAAAAGTAAGTACTATTATCATTTATCAATGCATTTGTACTCAATATAGTGGGCCTACCGCCTACAAATCAATTATTTGGGCTGGCCCGTACTTTATGCTAAATTTGTGGTTTATGTCCTATCTCTCAGATGGGCTGAAAGTGATCCATTTTCCTTCCTTCTTCCATTCTTTCCCTACCGACTGAGTCTTAGACTTTGATGCCACCTTGATTCATATTCTAATTGATTATGCAAATTGAATTGTCCACAAGGATTAAATATACCCAGAACTCAATACCTCAGTAGTAAAAGTACTGAGTCCGTATTCCATCTAGTGGCCGTGGTCCATATATTCACTAATAATGTCTATCTCATACTTTAGGGCTATGATTCCCTTACATTGAAACATGTCTCTGATTAAATAAGGGCAACTGGATATGCAAATACCATTAATCTAAAATGTTGCCGTAGTAGTTTTTGTATCAAGCTAAGTGGAAATGGATTCTGCAGATTTCAAATTTTGCCCAAAGAGAAGCATTTCTAAACAACTAATGATTTCCCTCTGAAGGATTTTAAATTCTTTTTTAAGGTCTCGTTTGTTTTTTATGAAGCCAATTATTTGGACAAATGCATTTATTCAATTTTTTAATTTTTCAGGTAAGTAAGACAATGGCCGTTTTAACCGTAAAAATCATTATTAAAAGGAGTAATTTTAGGCCATTGAAAATTTTCATCATGTAGAAAAGCTATTTATTCACCAGAGAGATGGGAGATGGATACCACTTACCCAAGATAAGTGATATCTAGGAAAAATGAATCTTCCATAAACCCTACATGAACCTGAAAAAAGAAGTTACATATATATCTCGGTCAATGAGAATCAAAATCTCATTTCTAGTATTGGGTCTCTAGTGCCACTTTCAATGCCCAAGTTCCACGAATCAAAATGCAGCCTAAAAGAGAAGCAGAAAATTCATACACAATAAATTACATTCACATTTAGGAGGGGAATAACAGTTTTAAAATGGAAAAATAGTTTTTTTTCGGGGGGGGGGGGGCTCCATGAAGATCTCTTATCCCATAAATTCCACAAATCATTTTTTTTTTTGTTTTAAAAAGCTCATTACAACAGCAGAAATTTGGCTCATCATTTCCATTGTAGTTCCTCAAATTCCACTATTGATCTCAGCCTTAATTAATCCTGCCATTATGCTCCATCAAAATCCATGTTCTGTCAAAAGCTTTGGGGATACAATTTATTGCAAAGGCTGTTGCTTCATAAAGCTGATTTCGAAAGCTATAAATGAACTTGTTGGAATTAAACAAAGTGACGAAGGTACAAAATTAACTGCCAGCTGATATATGCTAAACATTTTCAAGTTTCTAAATGATCACGTAGAAATGGATGAAAACAAATAACTAACCAAAGAGCAATGGAATTTTCATCAAGACTGTTCTAAAAAGAGCAAAAAGGTGGATGAAATACTTGAGAGTGAAAATTTTCTTCCCCTCTCACCTCGATACAAAAGGAGTCTAAATGCAGATCTACTAAAACAAAATAGTTATAAAGGGCATCATATTATCTATGACTCTTGGGTACAGGGACATGAGATTCATGGTTGATACATGGTGTGACATGTCGCCTGATGTAGAGCAATCTGGTAGCTCCCTGTTGGATGGCAGCTTGGATGCCGAGTTCACTAGTTTGTTGGGTCGACCTACAAAGAGACAGTGTCAGAGTGCCCAAGCTACTTTACCCAAGGTGGACACTCCGATGCTTAAGGTAGCGAACTAGAGATTTTGGAGATTGATAAAAAGCGAAAGACCTAGAGAGTTGCGAAAGCTAAATTGCACATAACTTCTGAGGTTGGAAGTGAGACCTTTATATAGGAGTTGCTAGCGTGAGTTTCACGCACAATGTCCGAGATCTCCGGGAAGACGTGACTGGCCGATTTGAAGTCCTCAGAGGTAATTGCGCATGTAGACTAGGCTTTTGTGCCTTCCTCCGGAATATTTGTTGTGGGAGTTGACTTCCGGGAGACCCTGGAATGATGGGATGCACACATAGAGGAGGTTGACAAGCACGTCTCGCAAGTTGCTACCTAGACCTTAGTTAGGTCGACAAGTCCTCGAGGAAGGTCTCGCTCATCGCGCCGAGGTCCCTTGGACTGGTAACAACGAGGTACTACAAGTCGGCATTGGATGAGGCGCTTCTAGTCGCCCTATCAAGGTGCTCGAGTTGTGTATGAGGTGCCCTGGACTAATTCCGGGGTGATCTCCTTGACTTGGCGAGATACGCATATGTCCATGTGGCGCTGAAGTGTCAAGCGGCAAAGGTGGATGCCATGTGTCGCTAGGTCAGTAGAGGGCCAAATCTCTCCTCATCAGTTACACCCCACACTTGAGCCGAGGCTAGTTCGGCAAAGGGTGTAGCTTGTTTGAAGATGAGGCCCGAGGTGACCTACTCTAGATGTCGGTCAAGTCAAAGTGTGATAAGTGCGGGTAGGTCATCTATGGATTTTTAGTCGAGGTGCAAGGTGCGTGTACACCGAGGTGTTAAGAGAGAATTTGAGAATTTGGCCAAGTTTCTGATGTGCTTGAAGTAGTAGGTCGAGCAGATAAAGCGAATTGGCCTATTAAAATTTCAGCTAAGTCAAAATGTTTGTCGAGGTGATTAAGGGTGTATTTTAGGCTGAGGTGCTAAGAGTGAATAGGCTTGCCGAGGTGCTAAAAGCGAGTTGGTCTGTTATAAATTCAACTAAGTCAATGTTGCCGAATTCATTCACTCATGCCAACTTGAGGAAGTCATTGGCTTAAGGGGCCTTTGTGCTAAAAAGCATTCTGGCTTCCCTTTCATTTTTAGATGATGTGCTCATAGCATAAGTCAACTTGACCAGGTCGCCAAATCGAGCGGTCGTCAAGTGGGAGTTGTGGCTGGTTGAGATATTGTAGCCTACTACTACCGACCTGCCTGTTATCATGTTGATCATTTAGCCAGTTGCTGGGTGCATGTTGATATTGTGGATGTACAGTGCCAGCTCCAGAAACTTATGGCCGTCAACTCCCAGGGGAGCCATGAAGGGACCTACAGGGGCGATTTTACAATCTGTTGGCCGTCCTCTCCCACGGGAACCATGGAGGGCTCAACCTGTGGGGCGACCTCATAGTCTGTTGGCCATCAACTCTCACAGGAAGCATAGAGGGTTCGACCCGCGGGGGGCAGCCTCATAGTCAGGGTTGGGAGATTTTGTCCGGGTGAGACCACTGGAACCAATACGGGCAAGTCGTTCGGATTCTGCCCCCCTTGTTATGGCATCGTTGATACGTGTGTTGTTATCGGCATTAGACGGTAGGTCGGTGCCACGACTACACTACGTTAGTCCTCAAAATCATTGGTCGTCTACTCCTACAATAGTCACAAGGAGCTCAACTTGCAGGGGCGACTCTACTAACTATAGGTCGCCAACTGGCACAGGAGCCTTGAAGGGCTCGACCCACGAGGGCGACTCCATAGTCTGTTGGCTGCCGACTCCCATGGGAGCTACAGAAGGCACGACTTGTAGAGGCGACCACGCGAACAGAGTTGATGAGGCTCATCCGAGCTGATTACTACTAGGTGAGAATTTAAAATGAGAGTGAGAACCTGGCTTTTAAGTAGCGGTTCCCACAGGCGGCGCCAATTGATGTAGCACGATCTGGTAGCTCCTTGTTGGATGGCAGCTCAAATGCTTGGCTAGCTAGTTCACCAGGTCGACCTGCAAAGAGACAGTATCAAAGTGTCTGAGCTGCTTTATCCGGGGTGGACACTCCGATGCTTAATTCAGCGAAACTGGAGATTTTGGAGAGAGCGAAAGAGCGAAAGAGCTAGAGAATTGTAGGAGCTAAATTGCACATATCTTCTAAGATTGGAAGTGAGACCTTTATATAGGCGTTGGCTAACGTGAGCTTCACGCACAACATCCAAGATCTTCGGGAAGACGTGGTTGGCCAGTCTGAAGTCCATGGAGGTAGTTGCGCACGTAGACTAGGCTTTTGTGCCTTCCTCCAGAACATTCGGTTTGGGAGTTGACATCTGAAAGACCCGGGAATGACGGGATGCACACACATACGAGGTTGGCGAGCACGTCTCGTAAGTAGCCACTTGGACCTCAGTCAGGCTGACAAGTCCTTGAGGGAGGTTGCTCTTCACGCCGAGGTCACTTCGACCGGTACTGACGAGGTACCACAGGTCGGCACTAGACGAAGTACTGCTAGAAACCCTGCCGATGTGCCCGAGCTGTGTATGAGGTGACCTGAACTGATTTCGGGGTGCATCTCCTTGACTTGGTGGGATATGTGTCTATCCGTGTGATGTTAAATTGTTAAGCGGCAAAGGCGGATGCCACATGTCGCCAAGTCAGCGGAGGGCCAAATCACCCCTCATCATCGCCCACACCCAAAAAAACCAATTTCTAAGTGATTTGGTTTTTCCTTTCCCTGAAGCTTTGAAGTTGTATATAACATTTACGTTATTTCCAACAACACATTTATAGTTACTTTAGGCTAAGTTTGGAAGAAGCACAA